CCTCTGCTCCCTAACAGTTCCTATTCAAGAGGTCCTCAAAACCCAAGTGAGAAAATCATCTGACCCAGTTGGAACTAGATGATGGCTGTCAATTTTTAAAGCCCTTGAACAGTAAAAACGCATTTTTAAGAATAAAAAGGTAAATATTTACCTTAAACGTTTTATGAGGCCTTCTTTTGGGTTTATTGAGTGGATGTCTTTGAGAGTTTTTTTTTTTTTTTATTCTTCTTCTTGTCTAAACTGTATTCGTGCTTTTCTGGTTTTGATTTTCCTAAAATAGAAGAATTTAAAGATGCCTGTGGAGTATTCTGAAAGTGGAATCCTTCCAGACCGATGCAGTATTTTTTCCAGTCTTCTTACAGTTGTCTCAACCACTCCAAATTGAGCAACAGTCTGAGCAACTTACATATGTTAGGTCTCACCAAAGCGTTCAACTTAGCTCTCTAAAAGGTAGCTTGCATATTTTAAGATAAAATATAAGCGATATGGAGAAAGAATATCTGTGTTTTTTGTTCACTGACTGAGTCTGGACACGACAACGATGCCTGGTGTCTGTAGATATTCGATCTGTTGAATAAAATGGATCACGAAACACTTGCACGATTTAATTAACTGCTGCTATAAGCAAAGTGGCATAAAAAGGCTCAAGAGCTCACACAGCTGACCCTTAATAAACAACATGGAGAACACAAGTGGCTATGTGAGTGTGCTGGGCAGTACCAGTCCACCAGGTGTGAACACTCGGGCCCCGGTCACCATTGTTCAGTGTGTGTTTGGAGGGACTAGTGAGTGTGTACATTAACCTGGGCAGCAATTAGGTAGAACTGTATTGTGAGATATTTCTCTCTCCTAATAAGAAGCCTCAGGTGGAGCTGGAAAGATGTTCCAGAGAACCCAGGTTCAGTCCCCAACACCAACATCAGGTAGCTCTCAACCACCTAGAGCTCCAGTTCCAGGAGATCTGGCCCCCTCTGCTGGCCTCTGTAGACACCTACACACACACTGCAGACACTCGGACACCCACATATACACATAAATAAAATTAATCTTTTAAAAATAAAATATTGTTTTAAAAAAAGAAGTCTCAGTCAGTGAAGGACTGAGGCAAGAGTCAGTGTAATAAATGGGAAGTGTTTCTTCCATGTCTGTTTCTCCTGGAGCCCTGTTTTGGATTCCAGAGGAATCCATTTATCCATGTGTGTGTGCAGGAAAATGATTCTCTACCAACACTAAGCTTCTCTTGGCAGCGGGTGGCACTTAATGCAGACTCACAGCTGATCAAAGCACTGGTAATGAGTGCCTGGCCAGTGTTTAGCCCTAAACCAAACACTGACATCACCTGCTTCAAGACTCAGGGGACATCTCCGTGGAAGAGGAGGCAGAAAGAACGTAAGAGCCGGAGGATGAGGAAGAGCGCTATGAAATGCCACTGTCTGGACAGGACATGACCATCACTGCTATGAATCCACAGTGGCTATGGTGACCTGCACCAGTCCAGTACCCAATGTTGAAACACCCATGTGCTAGTAAATACCCCCCACCCATGCCCATGAAAGCAATTTTAATTCAGTTCAGTAGGTCATCAAAACAAGTAAAAAGACAAGAAAGTGGGTGTGTGGCTTGTTGGCAAGAAAGAATCCTGTGAGAGAATGGGATATAAGAGAAAGTAAGAGAGGGGGAAGAGATGATCAAAATACACTATATATCCATTTATACACACACATATACGTGTGTGTGTGTGTGTGTGTGTGTGTGTGTGACATTGTCAGAGTTGTTCTGTGGAATACTAAGGTTACTTTCCCTTCGAACAAGCCAATCTGTAAGAAGATGACTGGTTTGAGGATTTTGATTTGCTGTTGCTTTGTTCTGACTTAGGGTATTGCCGTATATCGTAGACTGGCCCGGAAGTGGCTACTGAACACAGGCTAGCCTCAAACTCATGATCATCCTCTTCTACCACCCACGTGCTGAGACCACAGGCTGGTGGGGTTTCTCTCAGGTGTCCTCCCCCCCCCACTGCTACAGCCTTAGCCCCCCAAAGGCTCCTCCTCAACATCCTTTGTGCATGTTGTCACAGGTAAGACAGGCTGAGTATTAGTCATTTATCTCGTTGTTGCCATAAAATATCGGACAAAAGCAACTTCAGTAAAGGAAGGTCGACGTTGGCTCACAGTCTGTGGGTAAAGTCCACCGAGGCAGGGTAGGGTTGGCAGCAAGCGCAGCCCTCGCTGAAACAGCCAAGACATGAGGCAGCTGGTCACACTGAGGAAATGGGGAAGGATGAAGTCGAGAGGCCATGCCTTCCCCCTTTCCACCTTTTTGATTCTGTCCAGGACCTCAGGCCGCAGATGGTGCCTCTCACTTCAGGGTGGCTCTCCACTCCTCAGTTCAATCTCTCTGGAAACCTTCTCACAGACTCGCAATGTCTCCCAGGTGACTGATTCCAAATCACACCAAGCTGGCAATCAAGATTCATCACTACAGCCCATTACCAGGAGCTGAGAACCCTGGGACCGACCCAAAGTGCAGACCAGTGACACCAGGAGCTGGCTAGAGAGTCCCAGAGGGCATTGGGGGCAAATGGTCAAGAAAGTAAGACTGTGTAAAAGCCAGTGGACCCGGAGAGGGTGAGAGGTGCTGGAGACTCCAGAAGACAAGAGGCTACAAAGACCTGAGGGTGGAGGCTGTGTACAGACTGCAAGCCCCAGCCACTGGGAGAGTTCAATAGCACAGCCAAGGGCTATGAAGAGCTAAGGGACTTGACACTCAGCACACAGGAGCTTTAACTCTAGAGGGCCCCTGGGCCTTAGCACGCTGATCCCAGGGCACTAAGCCTCTGCCTCCAGCCCCTAGTGCAGTAAGCCGCCTGCTTTGAAAGTTTGGAGCCTTAAGCCTCCAGTTCTCAAGACTTACAGCTGTAAGCCTCTGGATTGGAGGGCTGGCTTGCCAATCTCTGAGACTCAGGGTCATCAGCGCAAAGGGGGCTGCCTCTTACTGTTCATGATTGAGAGAGAGAGAGAGAGAGAGAGAGAGAGAGAGAGAGAGAGAGAGAGAGAGAGAGAGAGCAAAACAACCCCTAGCCATCCGTTTAGGACTGAACTCCATGAAAGAACACACTGGGATCATTTGAGTGACATCTGTCCAGGGGTAAACTCTGCGAGTGAAGTCGTTAATGATCTATCGACGTCCCCACCTGCCTTTCACAGGACCTAATATCAGAAGGAAACAAACAATGAAAATTATGGCGGGTTTAATTTGCTCCTGCCCCAGAAGAATGAGCCCTGAACGACTGTATGGTATTAACCTTTGCATCTCCAGACCACATTGGAGGACAACCAAGAACTTGGCAGATAAAAAAAAAAAAAAAAAACGATGTCCTGTGAGTGCTCGGGAAGGTTGTGAAAACATACTGTTTCATGAACAAGAGGCTCAGCCCTGCCTTTCTAACATCTGCTCCCTCTGCTTCACCTCCACTCTCACCAGGAGTTCCCTATGATGACTCGAGCAAGGAGGAGGAAGCCAAGATGGGCTTCAGAGGGACCTGCCTGATGCGCAGGAGGCAGCCCAAAGCAGACTGCTAGTCCTACACTACCGTCCTTGAATGTCCTCTAGAAATAGTCATCGAGGAAAATCATCCTACCTCCTACGTGGTTGGTCTTTCTTTCTTTCTTTCTTTTTTCTTTCTTTCTTTTTTTTTCTGGAGCTGAGGACCGAACCCAGGGCCTTGTGCTTGCTAGGCAAGCACTCTACCACTGAGCTGAATCTCCAACCCCATGGTTGGTCTTTCTATGGGACATTTTATCGCCCAGTTTTGCTGGGTGAGAAATCTTGACATTACATATTATCTGCTTCGTAAACAGCGGTTGACGTTAAGTTAGCTGGTTGGGAATCCGGAGGAAACAGACTAGAAAATCAGTACCAGGGAGATTTAAGGAGCCAGAGGATAGGCATCTAGGAAAATGTCTCAAGTGTCTATTCCCCGAAAGACCTTTAGTCCTCGGTGGGAAAGGTGAAGAATGGTAAAGATCAGCCCTGCAGCCACCGGTCAGCTCCTTCCCAGCCACTGAGGGACTCCTCGGTGGGCTCATGTACAGAGCTGGCATGAAATCGGGAGTGGAATCCATGAATGGAGTCAAAGGCACAGGCTCCCTCCTTCACAGCTGATCTGATTGCCTTCCCAGTTTAGACTCAAGTTGTAACAGCATCAACTTTCGGCCTCTGTTGTTCCTTCCTGGTGGGACCAGCCTGCCCCCTGGTGGTGGATGGGCTCTGTTCAGCCCTTTCCATCATAATGTCCCATCTGCCCTCAGGGATTCAGACTTGCTCTGGATTTGAAGAGCATTTGCACCTACCACTGTTAGAGTAACATCATCAGCCATCACACACACTGCTTCTGTCTAAGCAACACACATTTCAGAAGAGAAGTAAGTCAATAGGATACTGTGTGTGTAATTCTGTGACCTATGCTGCCCGGAACTTGTTAGGCGGGCACACACACACAACACACCAATGCAGTGTTGAATGTTGGCTTTGGTCCCCCTTGACTGTAAAGGGGAAGCAGGGCTGCTTACCACAACTGAAGTCAATCTGCTGCGGGTGGATGACCTCCATGGGGTCCCGGGGCTGTCTCCTGACGCTGCCATTTTTAATTTGCATGATGGAAGTCCAGCAGGAGGTACGGTCACCCTCTTCAGGGTTGACCACCAAGATGAGACACGTATTGGGAGGAAGACTGTATTGCTCCAGCAGGTGCAGTGTCCTAGTCAGGGGAGGGGCTGGCTGATTTCAAAGGGAGCGTGGCAGCGAGGGAGAGAAGGTGCATCTGACAACGTAATGCTCTTAACCGGACAGGAAAAAGCGCGATTCAGTTTTCTCACCTACAGGCTGATATTTTAACACATTTTCCTCTCTGCTTATTTCACTATTTCTGTTACAATTATTTATTTAAGTGCGTGCATGCGTGCGTGCGTGCGTGTGTGCGTTTGTGTGTGTGTGTGTGTGTGTGTGTGTGTGTGTGTGTATGCATGCGTACGCACAATGCTCTTGTGCACATGCCATGGCATGCATGTAGAGCTCAGAGGACGTCTTAGGGAGTGGGTTCTCTCCTCTCACCACACGAGTTCTGGACACTGAACTGCTGTCATCAGGCTTGGCAACAGATGCCTTTATCCCCTGAGCCATCGCCCCAGCCCCATTTCATTATTTTACGTGAGGTGTACAGTCGGGGTTACTGCAGGTACCCGTGGATTACAGAGCATCACGGTGGAGTCAGGATGGAGTAGCTGAGATTGGTCCTGGCTCGGAAGTCCTGAACGTTTAGGTGGACTCAGAACTTAGAAAGCAGGAATTCAATGCTACTGACAGAGGATCGTATTCTGTACTAGAAGGAGTGACGGTCATCTTAGATCAGCTGGGAAGCATGAGTGTAAGACCATGAGGACCTGTGTATGTCGACACTGAGTCCCGGAAGGGGACACTGTAAAGGACAACTGTCATTCTCTCTGGCTGTCCAGCTGACCTGCTTCATGAGTTTGGGAATGCCATAACAGAAGCTGGGAATTTCAAGC